TAAGTCCATGAGCATGCATGTGTGTCAATTACATGAATTTAAAATTAAATACATAAATAAATCTACAATGCACATTTACTTTATTCTAGCTAAGTTCAATATTGTTGTATATATATTCTGAAACAAGGAAATGATATTTGAGATCGTAACAAAATTTTGAAATGATTTTTTTTTTTGGGATGGTTAGGGTGTTGAGCTAATTTTAGGTATCTCGAGATTGAATAAAATTTATGGGTAAAGTACTACATTGTATAATCACTTTAGTGTATTTATTTTTATTTTTTTATATTAAACCCTCAATATCCAAAAGTTACATTGAGTATCAGATTAATATGGAATTGAATTAGGTTAGACCTTATAAGGACAAGAAATCTCTTTTAGCACATATTTTTTTATTTATAAGACCCAAACTTAAGATTTTATTTAAGAGAAATCGATTTTTTTTACTTAAATCAATAAGTTGTTGATACTTCAATGTAATTATAGGTAAAGTACCTGTTGTACTTTAACTCTAATTTAAATTTTCATTAATCGAAAAAAAAAAGTATAGATCTAATTCTTGGAGGTGAATTTTTTTTTTTTTTTTTGAAGTGATGTTATGTAATCTAATTAGTGTAAGTAACTTGAATACATACAAATACGTACCTTGTATTCCAATTTCCATTTTGTTGAGGTCTTGGTTGTGAATAATGGGAATTCGTAGTTCACAGGAGGAAATCGGGGGTAACTTTACCTTTAACCCTTTAATACATAAAACCGCAAATAGATCGATTATATATATAACAATTAAATTTAAAGATTAAAATATGAAAGTAAAGGAAATTCATACTGACATTGATAAATCCATCTTTGCCAAAACCGAAGCCTTCTTCCACTTAAGAATGCTGAAGGCTGAAGGGCCAACATATAAATAGGAGAATCTTCTTCCATAGTCCTTTTTGTCGTTAAGCTTGGATGGCGATTAAGTAGATCATAACAAATATCTGGTTTTCTCGATACCAAGGGAGATAAGTAAACATCAACCATTCCACTTTAGTATAAATATATTTTAACTCCAACAAAATTTTGATTGGGTTGGTATTTACTTATTTAAAATTTTGATTTAAAAAATCAAAAAATTAAATCTTTATAATGTTAAATAACATATACCAAAAACTATATATTCCAACAAATCAATTATGATCAACCTGGTTAGTTAAATAAACAAAGTGACGGATAAAAAAAATTTTAGTATTCAATTGAAAGCAAAATCATAAGATTAAAAAAAGTTAATGCTTCGTATAAGAGTGTTGTGCGGTGTAAGTTTTTTTTTTTTTTTTTTTTTAATATCAAAATATATAATTGATATTAGTAAAAATATTAACTGCCTATGGTTGCATGAACCACTTTAAAAATGATTGTAAAATTAAAGACTACGTAAAAAAAGTAGGTGGAAAGATAGTGAAAATGCGCACTGTATTAAAAAGAAAAAGTAAGTGGGAAGATTGTGAGGTACGTTGGTCTTTTTTTTTTTTCTTTTTTTTTTT